AGATTGACAGATACTAAGTCAAAATGATCGCTGTTGGATCTGGACCAGCGGGTGAGAACATTGAGTCTAGTTCTTACTAAATTAATTTAAATTAATTAAACTGTTCTTCTAACAAATGTTTAAACAGTAACCACTGAAGTAAAGCAAATATCGTTCTGTGGGGATGCAGCATAGAAACCCAGTAATTTGAAGGACCGCCAGTCTTCCAGTTTTGAAAATGTTACTATTAAAATTTGTTTTTTAATTTTAAGACGTAGGGTTCTTTATAAAGTAGAATACTACCCTATTTTCTATTAGTATTTTAAAAATCTACTTCATTTATTTTTTTCGTAAAATAATTTCCGACATATGGAGTTGCAGTTTTCCTTAACTGGCACTTCCGGTATGGTTACACATTTTGCGTTCCTTTTGGGATCATTTTGCTTGCTTACAAATTGTTTTTGTTGCTGTTGGAATTAAGTGGAACCATTATGAATAAATTTTAAACACAGTGGAAACATTGATTTTATATGCTAGGAAGAAAATTCGTTGTTTTTAAATGAAAGTTAAATGAAAGCATCAGTTTGTTTAGTATAAAGGGAACTTTGGTGGAGCTAAAGAGTGTATAATAAAATTTTAAATGAAATCGTGGGTACGATATAAATCGAAACAATTTTTAAACTATATTATCATTAAAGAATTGATAAATTTTGAATAAAAATTTAATTTTATAAAATTTATATTTTATATAAAATAATCATAAATTTTAAATAAAATTTTAATGTTTTTGGATTTCCAAATCCATTGAAATAATTTTATAGGTTCGCTTTATTTTTTTATTCTTCTTTTTAGTATTTATTTTTAGTTTAATGTTAACTAAAAAATATGCAGTTAATATAAATCTCAATCGAATCTCAGAATGGTTACAGGCACCTCAGGGAGGTATGCAGATCTGAGGTCAATTATTGCTTCGTCTGATGAAGTGATAAGCAATAATCCAGTCAAGGTGTAAAAAGGGGTTTTGTTAAACCCCTAACCTCGAGTTAAAAAAGAGTAAAAATACTCAAGTGCACTTGCTCGAATAGCTTCAACATAACAAATATTGTTAATATTAATATATTTATAAGTTCATATGCGTTCACGCTTTTCGTGGCAATTATACTTTTTGCTGTTTTTTATGAAAATATCCTTCAAAACTAATGGACTTTTTCTACGTCCAGGGGCTACTAGGCGGCTAAACACTGCTCACCATTCCCAACAGGGAGCATAGCAGCTGATATCTTTTTTGACAGTAGGTGAAAAAAGCTGATATCTTTCAGTTACAACAACAATAAAGTGTCTTCTGTTGTTTATATAATCTGTTGTTTATTAGGGCAGCTTATTTAAGTCTGATTATTAAGATTATTTAATTTGTCCTTTATTCGGACTGTAAAATGGTTTCATACGTTGTAGTAGTCAGTATCTACCTGACTCGTGAAGCTGGGTTCTATGCAGGTTTATCAAATAAACTGATTGATAATAATATAAACTAACGTATTGAACATAGATATTGTAAAACTTTTATGCCAAAAAAATAGAACTATAGTAAATATAATTTTATAAGAATATATAGGAATACATTAAGAAAAAAAGATTGTTTAGATGGTAAATTTTTAGGTAGTTTTTGATTTAATAATATATAATATGCCCATAACATGGGAATATAATCCCTGTAGTATTCTAAATATATACTTAATACTGCAAGAGTATTCAGGAAATACTCGAAACTCTCAAAGTATAGACTTATAATACCGAAGGAGATAAATTAAAGTACAGAATTTTTACTTGAAATATAATTTGGTTATTTTTGTATATGAAATATTTTAAACTCATAAGTAACAAACTGATATTTAAAAAATTTAAAAGTTTTTAAAATTTTAAATTGAATTTGGAGCTAACAGAGCACATGAGACTTAAAGACAAGCTACTTGAAAGCCAAAAACTCTAACGCCATTGCAATAGATTATTTATTTAAAGAAAAAAAGTCATTATAATTTTATATAATAAAGATTTAAAAATCAAAAAAATTAATTTCATTTTATTTTACTTCATTTTGCATTGACACCCCAACTTTGACCCCTAACATTATATTAAATCTCGTTGACAGCAAATAAACGCCCCCAGTAGCGGTGGAACACATTTCATATATTCAAGTGTATCATCTAATAACCCGAAAACAAGGATAACAAAAAATCCTTGTGCAACACAATACGCTGAGGAGTGATTTTAATCTGTTGCAAATTGTTTTTGCTGCCACGACTACAATTCGTTTTACAACCACAAATTTTGTGCATACTTTTTTATTGCAACCATGCGTAGCTGTGTTTATTATTTTCTGGTTACATTATGCGGCAGTGATTCGGGAGTTCCTTATATGGACGTGTGAAAATTTCATTAGGAAAATACTTTTCTAAATTTATGACTTCTACATGGAATGAAATAAGAGAAAGTTTTTCCATACACACAACGAACGAAACGAATTTGTGGTACTTAGAATTTTGCGGATTATATGGTAAAATATTTCATTTATTAAATTTATTTTCTGATTTTATAGATTAAAATTTGGGTCAAATTAAAAGAAAAAATATGAACACTTATATGAAAATATTTTATTTATTTTACTCAAAAGTTTTAATTAAAAGATTTATTTTGAAGATCAATAACTTTTAAATTAATTAATTTTATTTAAATATTTTTGTGTAGAGAGTTTTTTTATTTATTTATATTTTTTCAAGTGGCTTTTAACTAAAATCGAATAATATTTCCTAGACTATTGAGATATTATGTCAGAGCAGAATTATTCAAAAATATACAAAGTTATATTTTCACTTAATGATGTATTAATATTTTTAAATAGATTTTTTAGAATTTTTTTGTATTTTAAAAATATTAAAAAAAAATATTATACAACCTTGCATATAATTATTAATTACAAAAATAAAGAAGTTCAAGAAAATCTACTTATGCAAGTATTAAGTAAGTGCTACAATACATTACTTTTTATAGCCTAAGGGAAAAGTGAAGTATTTCCTTAGAAGTGCTCTCCTCAAAATTTGCATTAATCGTACTTGTAAAGCTTACGTTTGCATTCAAATAAATCTTCTTCTTATTAACTTTTTTGTTTAAAATTTGACAATAAATAAAAATCAGTTGAAGAAATATCTGGTAAACATAGTGAGTGTGGTTGCAACTGAAAGTAGTTTGCTGTTGCACTTGCTTAGGAATGAACTGGTGCTTTGTTGTGGTGAGACAATATAGTGTTTCTTGTTCTTAAATATCACAATCCAAATCTTATTAAAGTATCCTATAATACTGATCTATTATTGTTCTACCCAAATATTAGTATCCAACTTCTATATTTAAACTGACTATCAAATCAAATAAATTTTTCAGTTATAAATATGCAATAACTGAAAAGAAACCTGAACAGATAAAGAATTTTATCGGATTTCGAAACTTACTTAATCCAATTTAGAAATAAAGTGTACTATTCCATTGTGTTCACTAAAAACGAATCTACTCACCACTACGTTATCTGTACTGACTGGGCAATATATGTAAGAAAGTATATAATGAAACTAGCACTACTCCATAAAGACTTTTATCAGAGTCACGGCTCTAATAAAGAGGAAGAAGCTTTACTGCAAATTATATCTCAGTGTCCTTTTGTCATCGTTACAATATTTAGTATTTATAGAGCTTCTTTTCTTATCGATCTGACAAAATGGTTTTTCTTCAAATTTACGTATACAGTTGCGTTTATAGATTTGCAAGATTGTTTCAGTTGTATTTAGAAGAGGGAGTCGTGTATATTTTATTCGATGTTGTCTTTGCGCTTTCTACTTTTGCTTTATATCTGTTTTAGTGGTATCCAATTAAGTTGACATGTGAATCATCAATTTGCTCATGGTTTCACGATCCATTATTGAGACTTAAATGGGCTTTGGTTTGCAAGATTATCATTCCAATCCAACTCAATTTTTATACTCAGTATTTTAATAGAGTTGATGGGTATTATATAAGGTTTTTTTTAATTAAAAAATAATAATTCTTTTTGAACAATTTAATTTTTGAAATGTTTTAAAATCAAAGTATAAAAGTGAAAATGTGAAAGATATTAAAATTTATTCGACAGGCCGTCCTCATTAGTATAGTCAAATAAGGAAAAAAAATTTTGTTTTTAAAAACAATTTATTGACACTATTGAACAAAAGTTCAATAAAAAAGAAAGAAGAATAGTTGGAATCGATAATTCAAATAATTTTGTTCAAGTGAGGACGAAAAAGTTGTTGAACAACATAATAAATGGACAGAACCACAAATCGCTAATACAAATATATATACCAATTAATGTGGTTAAATAGTCAATTATTTATTTTATTTTTGTGTATTGAAAATCTACAAAATTTTTATACCTCAACTTTAAGAGAGATTTCACTAACATTGATTACAAATTGAATTTTTTATGTAAGATGTAAAATTTATTGCAATATAAAAATATTTCTCCTTTTCTGGAAAAAAATTAAGTAATTTTTATTTATTGCATATTTTTGAACGCCAAAATTCAAAAGCGACTTTTCATTTTAAAAAAATTGCATATTTTTAGGAGCAGACTTTTATTTTCAAAAATTTTCGTTAATTATATGGAATCGGTATTTAGTGAATTTTTATTGAATGATTAGAACAAAGGAAATAAAAATTTTCTTTGATTATTAATATATTAAATTTTTTACATTGTCGCCGTACAAAACTATAAAATTTTTAGATAAAAATTAATAAGTTGATAAAAGTATAAAAAATTCAGATAAATGGCATTATTATTTAAGTCAAAATAATTTTTTCAATTTCAAAATAATCTTGAGGCAGAACTTATGCATATAGAAAAAATTAATAAAATTCGAAAAATAATGATTAATTAAATTAATTATTATAATAAATAAATATACAAAAATTATATATAAAAGGCAAAATAAAAAACTCACCTCGACAATTTTCCTCATCGGTACGATCGACGCACTCGTAGGCGCCATTACATTTATAAGCATTCGGCAAACAGTGATTATCGCACATGAACTCGTTTTCAGTGCAAACTGAAAGCATTTGTAACGATTAATAATCAAAATAATTAAAAACGCCAATTGGGGATACGAATATGTATGGTTAGTCGATAGGTGAAACGTTAAACGATTACTTATGATAACAAATGTACATATGAAGTTTATGTTGTGATGGCTTTTTTTATACAAAATGCAGCAGGGAATATATTTACAAAATTTCGTTTTGTGAAGTTAGTGATCGAGTACCGAAAGTAATCGGTACCTAAATATATTATGTAATATAATATATACAGTTTTATACCGTTAGAAATTGGATATAATTGATTTAATATAGATATATTGAATAAATTTATCAGTGAATGTAGTTTAGTTTTGCAGTAGAACCGTTTATGCAACCGGTACTTAATATAAGTGAAATGGTTACTTTAGTGAGAAGGTTAAAATATTATATTAATAAAATTTACTAAATTAAAAGTAAAGAAAATAATATATTAAAAAATAAACATTTTAAAATATACTAAATAATTTATGTAATATAAGATTTAATTTTCATTATATAACGCCTTTCTTTATATTTATTTTGAAAAACTGTGGAAAACAAACACAAAATGTTTGATGATGAGAACACACAGATAAAGGAGGAAAGCACACAAATAGGAAAAACACACATTATTTAGAGCAATAGTAATGCTCAGTACAATAAATAATACCATTTGGACTTCCAGCATTGTCTTCAGTTCCACCAATACCTGCTTCTTCTGAACCTGGGCAATTATGTTCATCTTCACCATCGGGACAATCCTCTCTACCATCGCAACGGTGCTCATCGCAGATCTGTTTTCCACTATATGGGCACGTGAATGAAGCATCCCCACGGCAGCCATCTTCAGTGGGACGCGAATATAATGGATCAGTTTCAGTTGTTGGCCGGAACTGGTCCAGGTCATCGCCGGAACCGTCATCAATATCAATATGCGGAATGTAGTCAGGCTTTGAAGCTAATACAATTAAAAATTCATATTACAGAAAAAATGATTTCGATCAAAAATTTTTATAGACAAATTTCTGAAGCGATTTTTTTTCTACAATTGCAATTTGCAACACACAAAACACAAAAAACACAGATTCTGTAACGATGATAAACATGTAATGATAGTTTTCAATAAGCGATGAGGATTGACAGCACAAAGAGATATTTTGGATATAAACTTGGTATAGAAGAGTGTTTTAAAATAATTGTGAGCTGTTGGAAATTTAGGATAGAGATAGATATGTAAATATTGCGGATAAAAAAATGTTGAACAATGGTGTAAGGTATTGGAAATGTGGGAGAGACAGGAAGATATGCAAGAATTTTGTGTAGAAGAGTGTACTAAAATTGGTGTATAGTGTAGGAGCGAAGACGGGAGAGTATATTTCAAAAATTGTGAGAAGGAGATTGGTAAAAATTTTGTATAGAAGAGTATTCCAAAAATTGTATTGAAAATGTAGAAAATATGAAAAAATTTTTTATAGATGAATATTCCAAAAATGATGGATCGTATTGAAAGTATAAGAGTATATATGAAAAGTAGTATATGAAAATATACTAAGTGAGGTAAAGTATTTTGAAAGCAATGATATCATAAACTTTTCTTGTAAATTGTTACATTTTATGTATTTTTATACGATTATTAACAAAAATTATAACAAAATAATATATAAATACAAAAGCAACACACAATAAATATACACATAAAAAATCAAAAAAAAAAATAATTAATACAATTCTAACATACACAGTTAAAACATTGTTAGTTATTAATTATTTTTATTTGACTAAAAGATTTGTCTAAAAGATTTCAAGATTTATGTCTCTAATTACTTTAAAAATTCTAGGGATATATAATATGTTCTTAAGATACGAATAATTTTATTATATTAGATACAGCATACCAAAAACAACAAATTTTATTTATGGATTATATATTTTCAATGAAGAAACTTCCATGATAATCATTTTACTAATCATTTTATATCTTTTAGATAGAATGGTTATTAGTAAGATATGCACTTTCAAATAATTTTGCAAAAGACACAAAAACTATAATATGAATATATGGATAGAATAATATATATAGAGATATATGTATAATAAATAAAATGTATTAGCATTATTTTTTTCTTTTCAAGTACATCAAACGAACAATATCTATATATTTTCTTACAATTGCAATCAAAATTAATTTCAGCTTTTAATATGATATATGATAGTGTCGAGAGGTCACTAAAAACTACAGGTTTTAATGGATAAATGTCTTCAGAGGACTATAGGTACTAAAATACACATTCACAAAGTCAAGTAAGTTATAATTTTTGATAAAAGCAAGAAATATGTCTGCTGAATTAAGTTTTGGCACAAGATCGTCATTCTAACCTATCCTAAGAAAAGTATCTAATGCATTTAACGAGAAGATTTTAGTAACTTTTAATTGAAAATTGTGTTGGAAGTAAATTGGTAACTATTTTTTCAACTGTTATAAATGCTAACGTCAAGCTCTGAGATGGAATCATCAAGGCAGTCGTCAACCTGGAACGCCGGCTAAAGCTTGGAGAAGAACAATTGAAGAAGAACTAAGAGAAGCGAACTATTCCTGGAGTGACATATGCCTTGAATCAAATAACCTAATACGATATAAAAAGATGTTAAAGACCCTATGCTCCACTGGGAGATAAGGATAAAAGAGAGAGAGAGATAAATGCTAAATTTAGATTTCTGAATATTTGATTGTATATCCATGTGTATATAAAAATATATAAAATATTTATTTATAAAATTGATTGATTTTAATCAGTGTGCAATTTATTCCACTTTAACTTTCTTAATCCTTCTTCTTTTTTGAGAATATTGGTCAACTGCAACAATATCTCTTAAATATCATTATAAGCTTTGCCAAAGGTTCGATGTGGTTTTAAACCTACGAATTTTTCTTTATCCGGTAACACAATGGCCTAAGACAGAGAATGGTAATGAATTCGCTTCTTTCTAATCACAGGACATGATTGGTTAAGTTAGGTGAATGTTTTATTCTGTCGGTTATGAAAAATGGGGAGTTGAGGAGAATTAATTTGAAATCCACTTTATTCAAGACATCATATGAAACCACAAACAAAATGGAGAAGGATTGTTCCAATTGAAACTAAAAATGTGTTGTAGAATTCTTCCCTTTTTAAAAAAGAGTATTGTAACCATAGCAATATAAAATATAGGATGTAATTTACTTAAATAGTAAAGACAGTAATCTTTTCGAAATGCATATAAGTAATATGTTAATTAAATGTTAATTATTACAAATATGTTAGTATTAGTATATACTTTATATACGGTTATGAATTATACATCAAACATATACATTTATATTAATATTTATGTTAGTAATTTCAAATCCAAATAAGCAAACCCAAATCCAAATATGGACAAAGCGTTTTTGTTAACTACTGAGTGTTTAGTTTCTTTAGTACTAATTTGAGGACAGGACAAATTTTATCAATAATTTTACAAAATTAGTTGAAATTTCAATTCAAATATATTATTTTGTAAAAAAATCCATGAATTAAATTACTTGGTGGTTCTTGGTGATCATTTTCTTCAGGATAATTTGTCTGCTCATCAGTTTCAATTGGATCACCGCACATTGCTTCATCTTCATCACTCTCATCGTCACAATCAAAGTAATTATTGCAACGTTTGCGGCACTCAATATACTGACCATTGTTGCAAGTGAAATAGCCGTTGGGCTGTAGGTCACAATTGGTGCGTTCACGTGGCACATTATTCTCATCTTCACGTCCATAGATATTATCTCTATTTGGATCATAATTTTCATCAATATTTTTATTAACTTCATTTCCATTATCGTCATCTCTATTATTATCATTTGTATTATCATAATTGGTATCATCGCCATTGTTATTATCATAATTGTTATTATCATAATTTGTGTTATCGCCATTGTTATTATCATAATTGTTATTATCGCCATTGTTATTATCGCCATTGTTATTATCATAATTGTTATTATCGCCATTGTTATTATCATAATTTGTATTATCGCCATTGTTATTATCATAATTTGTATTATCGCCAGTGTTATTATCATAGTTTGTATTATCATCACGATTTGAATGATCATAATTTGTATTATCATCACCATTATCACGATTTGTATGATCATAATTTGTATTATCATAATTTGTATTATCGACATTGGAATTATCGACATGTGGCTCATAAACATCACCACCATAGGTACCGGAAACAGTTTCTTCCTCAGGTTGGGTATATGTTGGTTCCACTCCAAAATCGATGGGATCGAGTACGTCTAATGAGGTAAGGCAGTTTTGTGTATTTTAATTACAAAAAAAGTGTTTAACTTAAAATGTTTATGGGTTAATTGTTTATATGTGTACGATTATGTGTTTATATGTGTTCTATGGAAAATACTATTTTCCCGCCATAACCAATTGGAAATTTATGTGTGAAGTAGAGTATATAGAATTTTTATAAAACTCAAGTCCTACAGAAGTTTATAAAACTTTTGCTCTAATAAAATAGTTTATTCTTGTTTAAATATCTATAAATTATATATAATATTTATTTAAAATATTATAATTAATTTTAAAATTTTAGAAATGCATAACTGTATGTTAAAGTTTATTTGGAAAAGAAATATTTTTTTCATTTTTAATAAAATTATTTTAAACTAAACAAAAAAAACTCTAAAATAAAGAAAAGACTCCCAAAAAAAAGTGAAAAATTGAAATAGTCATTAAAAAGTCTTTTAAATCTCATCGAATCTATATTATAAAGTCAGCTATTATATATATATAAAAATACATATATAAGAATATATAAGAATAATAAGAGTGTATAAGATTTTAAGTATTTTTCACTATATAATAAATAATTTACACACAAAAATTTTAATAACAGTTTTATTAAGAATTTTTTTTCCGTTAAAACATTTGTTATATACATTATATTATAATTAACACGACTCTGTTATATATAACTAAAATTGGCAATTAGCCATTATTAAATACCCCACTAATTTCTGCTCTACAGCCTTCTAAATATTAAATAAAATCCACATATATTAATAATACTACTATTCTTTTAAACTAAATTATTAAATTTGTCTTTAGTACTTACCTTGGATATGTCTGAAGTAGTACTGATCATCGATTTCAGCACCCAAGTCACCTAAACGGAGATTTTCAACAATGTAATTGCGTAGAATGTCACCAAAATTATGGACTCTGCTAGGTATTTCCAATTGTACGACGACATGAATTTTGAATTTATCTTCTGTTGGACTGCAATAAAAATATATTAATTATATACACGATATAAACCATTTCTAATCTTTGATTTATTTTGGATATATGATCTAGATGTATATATATTAAAGCTATCATGTGTTTATTCTTTTGATGCGAATATGGACTTTCATGAAAATAATGTCTAAATTTTCACTAATATTTAGACAGTTATCAAAGATATTACAGCAGTCCGCATTTCATCGAAGATAGTACACGAATCTAGACAATTTATCAACGTACTAGGCAATAGCCTCAAGGTAAGAAGACCCTAGCTTCAGCTTCCTGGACATACTAATATAGCGAGGAACAAAGCGTTAAGGAGCTTACGAGACTTGATACCTCTTCGATGCAATCTGTTTCATTCAATCCTTCCTTCTACCAGCCGCAAATGATATTTTTGAAATAGATCATTTTTTGAGACAGGCCAATAGAAATTGAGTTAATATATACTTAGCAACATATGGTCTCTCTAGACCAGATAATGTAACACTTTGCACTAAGTCTATAGAAGTAAATTGTAGGTATTTTAAACAATATCGATCCTAACGGGATAGTAGGCTATAGCACGGCATGGTATCAGGCTGGGTCTGTCTTGTCAAATCATTCGTACGACTTGTCTACTAGCGCTTAAAGAGATGACACCGGCACACCTATTGTATATAAAGTTCCCAATCTAATTATGCACTCTTGAAACAATGCATTATTTTTTTTGTATCTATACCTAGGCTTATTCAGAAATAGGTCAAAGTTATCGATATTTTTAGCTTTGATATTAGCCAGATATATATAGTGCTTATTTAAAAGGATGATATGCTATTCGTTTATATAGAGAATTACTATTACTTTTGGGATTTCATTAAACTCAATATTCTGGTATTTTTTTAACTAAAAGAAGTAAAAGGGATTATTTGTTAATATTTTAATGGAAGACTCAAATATTTTTAGAAAGAAACTTTAACTGGGGTGTTATTTTTTTGTATCCCTTAATTCCTACCAAAATAAATCTAATATCTACACAACGATATATATTCTAAATTGTTGGAACTTACAATCAACTATAAATATATAGATAACATTACTCACACTACACCCAGTAAAGTGGCACGAATGCTGTCATCATCATCATCGGTGGTATAATTTCTTTGATATAAATCACGGAAGCCAGTTTCAATTTGACGATGTAATGTATTGAATTCTTGACTTCTGGGGCCATCGCGTAATACCTCTTGCCATGGTTCATGAATAGTAAACAATGTACGATCTTTAAATTAAATCAATATTAGTGAATTTATAAATTACTTTTATTCGTTTTTTTTACTTACAATATTCTTTACGTTCAATTTCATCTTCACCATCGTTTTCCTCGATGAAGGCACCCGAACCTTCTACATAATCATCACCCATAGAAGCGCGCTTTTTGTGGTTATTTTGTTTTGCGCCCAAATGCTTTCGTCTTGGCTGTGTTTCGCCTTTGTGTTCCCTGGGGTGCTTTTTGTGCTGGACTTGAACTTCATGATTTTGTTCCTTTTTAGTTCGTCGTTCTTCGTTACGTTTTCTGTGTTTTCTAGGTTTATTTTCATCATCTTTGCTACCAAAAATACGATTCAGTTCCCGACGCACTCGCTTTACGCCTTTCACCAACCAATTTTCGTTGGATTCTGCGAGCGCATCTTCTACCGGTTGGAGTTCGTCATCACGTAATGCTTGTTCGTCTAATTCGCGTATGCCGCGGTATTTTTGATTTAACGCCGGTGATTCATCGGATTGATCTATGTCGAATGTGTCGTCGAATGTTACGTCTGATTTAAGTTCCTGCGAATGAAAGAAATTCATAATTTTTAAATAATTATGTTGAACTCGATTTTTAAAGACAGTTATGATGAAAAAAACCATTTTCTTAGTAGAAACTTTTAAATATCCGTTTATCTATATATTTATATCTCTTAAATATATTATTTTAATAGAGAAGTTTTTTTCGAACAGCAGTGAATTGCAACAACAAAATTTTATTACATATTTCCTAAATAATTTAATTAAATAATTGTGTTTAATTGTAACATTTGAATAGTTTCAATCTTTAGTGTACATCATACATATTTTATAGATATATATAAGTAACGTATTTAGTACCAAATATCTCTTCTCAACTAGATTGTTGAAGTTAAAGTGTTTATTTCTTATTTTCCATTATACAATATAGCACCTTAGTTTATTTAAAACATGCTAGTTTACCGTTTCTATAAATTTGGAGTAAACATGTAGCAACAATTTAAAGGGCGATGAGTTGATCATGCCATTAAACAGTTTCTCCAAATTCATAGAAGCAGTTTACAATAACTAAAGAAGGCAGGGGCGGATTAATACGATTATGTTACTTATATTTATATTCCATATATAAATATATAGCGTTATTTAAGTGTGATTAGTCTTATACGTAATTATTTATTAAAGTTTTTTTAATGATGGTACTTATAAATCTCTTATTTTAATTTAATAACTATTATTTGTATAACTAACGATAACAGCTTTGATTTTAACAAGACTGTTGATATACCAGGTTATTCCATTATGCAAGGTTTTATTGTGATAAGTGAGTAACCAATACGTAGTTCTGTAAATTAATCAGTCTACAATTGGGATTTGATTAATTAATTAATCAATTAATTAATTAACAATTTATGGTTCTATGATTGTGCAATTTCATTTCTTTGAATTATTTCCTAAACAGATTCATTCAGATGGCCTGAGATATCAGACAACTTTGAAACCGACATTAAAGCTGCTTCATAATTGGATTTTCAGATTATGTTTCATTTTTTCAGCGGTATATATATAACAGAAATTATATTTAAACCTAAACGATATCCAAGTATTTGTTTAATAAAGATATTTTGGAAGCAATAATAACTTTTCAAAGCCCTTCATTTTAAGTTTAAAAATTAATTAATTAATTTATAAAAAATTAATTATAAAAATTAATTAATTTAATTAGTTGAAAAGTATACAAAATGTTATTTATTAACACAATTCTAACAGATAATATTCTGTGTAAATAAATTAATAAAAAAGCGAATATTAACATGAAGGTTAGTTTTAGCTTTACATCATTCTATTATATGTTAAATTTATGTTAATAACAGAAATCTGTTGCATTAACAAATTTAGATAGCATTGCTATGCAAAGTAACATTTACTATGTTAATTAGTAAGATTGGTAAAAGTGTCTAATTTAATTTAAATTAATTTATGATATAGTGAAATACTCGTTTTTATAAACTCTAAATAATTGTAAATAATAATTTAAAATTCTTAAAAGGTATTTCTTAAAATGTTACGTACATTTTTTTCGTAAATGTTATTTACAGAAAGCTTTTGCTTGCAAATAAGTGTACAGTCGGTATTAATATTACAGAAATTGGTTGGGATATTGGCTAAATTATGTGGTGAAATAAATAACATTACTTAAAAGGACGTGATTTAACATTTTACTGTTAAGAAATATTGGAAATTGCAGTCACATATGTACGCTTAATAGTCTTTTTAAGTTGCAAAACATAATGATTATTTGAAGAATAACATAGACATAAATGTTGATTTAACTTATCTATTTATTAATAATGTTACTAATCAGCCATCGTAGCTTTCAAATAACTGCTTAATAACTTTGCTTGTATATTTTTTATAATTATTAAATAAAACATAAATATCATAAAAAATTAATAATTTTAGTTTTTCATTTGCAAAGTAGACACAATTGACTACAATATAGCTATACGAATGATCCAAAATTTCATATATTTTTAACAGGACGACGGTGGTATGGCCTTTGAATCATTGTGCGAGTTTTCTCTTATGATTTTAATTTATTCAAATCGAAAACACAGACCACCTTTTAATGGAAAAGAGAATGCCAGGAACTTTTACATAAATGGCTTAAGCTTCCATTAACTTTGAAGTCAATTTTGGGGTCTTCTTAAAGGACTTTGTTTATGACTATTTGTGTCCTTGATAAATATAGTGTTAACAGGCTCTCAACAAACTATAGTGCTATACCGATGTCTCAACAACTAAAGTAGTAGCAATCTATTTAAATGGGTACGCTGTAAGTAATGATGATTATATTCTAGGCTGCTTTGTCTGGAAATCAAATAAATTAACTCGGTGATTTTAAGATCGAAGGTTGCTTAGGACTACAACCTGCATAAGTCAGACTCTTTCTTGGAGTAGACAGAAGCGATGAGTGTATATATATATATATATATGTATATATATATACAATGTATATATATATTGTAAATTTTTATTAAAGAACTACATCATACGGCATCTATTGGTTTCAGTCAAACGAAGCATATGATACGGAAATATCAAGGGATTACTCAACCTAACAAAAGAGAATATATATAAGGTCGTGGGTCATTCTACGGTTTACTGGCTATTTAGTAGATACGCTATAAGATTGGTGTTTCATCTTATAAATATTATAAAAGTTTTGGTGAAAAGTAAAATAAAGAAAAATTTAAATACCAAATTAGAAGAAGGGGCGATTGCTAACAAAATTATATCTTATAAATTTCTTCAAAATTGTGGCAAAGAGTTGAACAAAGAAAAATTTAAATACCTCACCAAGAGAAGAATTATTTTTTAAGAAAATTATATCTTATGGTGTGTTCCAAATGGAGCCTGAAATAATCAATTATTACTTCCTCCCATGTTTAGTGTAAAGTTTTCAAATTTTACAGTGTGAATCGTTCAAAAACCGCTGATTATATTGAAATTGTAAAAAATTCTGCTTTATTAAATTGAGATACTATACTATATATTGAGTCTTTTAATCATATAAGTACTGTCTTAAAATAAATTAAATTGTTTTATTTATAAATAGTCCTGTTTAATTGAAAGCCCACTTAATATTACTAAGCAATTTTGAACTTTCCAACTAATAAAAATGATGGAATTTCAAAAAACAATTAAAAATTAAAATAAAAGTTTATTTAATATATTTTTAGTTATTCAATGTGATTTAAAATTAATTTTCTTTCTATTATTTTACAATACAATAGTTTCAAAGCGAAATTGTTGTGTGTGACACCCGTGCTTATCTCTTTTCTATTTCTGTTAAATGAGTTTTCTGCTTAAAATAAAAATATTAAATCATCTGTAAAACTTGTTTAAACATTTCATATTTGTTTATATTTTTTTTTGTATTTTACATTTATATTTGCTTTAGTTTACATTTTTCTGCTAAACTTGCAGTTTTTTCTTTGCCAGATTATGACATCAACGGAAATTCTTTTCACGTGTTGTCAGTTATTCCCGTTTTATATAAATATACCTACTTATATATGCTTCTATATAAAAAATATAAAACCTAAACAATATATATATATAGTATAACACACTGTGTCACTAAGAACTCTTTTAGGAATTGGAGTTTTTTGCATTCAAATGTAGTATTCTTCCTGCGCCTTTGAGTTTGTATTTTTTTATTTTAGATTTTAGTTAAAGCAAAATTTAATTTCAAAAAAAAAAAGTATACCAAAAGTCGGTGTTATGAATGAGTATTTTAAATACAATATATTTTTATAAACATAAAAAAGTACCCCATCGATTTCCGTCATACGAAAAGTGCAACTTTAGCAAAAAAGAATAAAGTAAACAAAAAAATTAATTACTACAATAGTAACAACAAAAAAATCATTAATAATATGAAAGAATATTGTTTATTTATTCTATTTCAATATATAATGCTGATGTTTTACTACGATGTCAATAAAGTATCGAGACATTAGTTATTTTTATTCATTATCTAAACGGAGCGCTATAAACAAATTAAAAGACAAGTGAGGCACCAATTCCACGTATGTAAAGAGTGTTGCCAACTTATTCTGATTCCAACTATAACCTTAAGCAGACTTTTTAAATAAACCAATTCCCAGAACTGTCTTGAGAGTATATCTACTTTGTTAATATAGATATTGACAGATATTGACAGTATTTAGTAAAGAGAACAGTGTTGCCAACTTAGCGATAAAAAGAATTGCGAACATACTTTTAAGTAGAGTTTGTAAAGGATTGATTCCAGTACTTTCTTTACAAAATGTATTTAGTAAAGAGAACAGAGTTGCCAACTTTACAACATTAAATATTTTGAAAATCCCTGTAAGGGGGGTATTAATTAATCGATTTCTAGCACTTTCTTGACAGAATGTACCTATATAGAAAAGTGAACTTAGCGAATCTCGAAGAATCTCGAAAATTCTTTTAAGTTGGCTTTTTATTTAATCAATTACCAATACTTTCTTGACAGAATGTATATAGTAAAGAAAATAGAGTTGCTAACTTAAAGACAAAAAGAATTTTGACTCACAGGGGCTCTTAAATGATCGAAATTTAATACTTTCTTGACAGCATCTATATACAAAGTAAACGGATTTGCCAAATTAGAGACAAGAAGATCACGATAATCCTTTTAAGTGAGCTTTCTAATTAACCAGTTCCCACTACTTTCCTGACAGAGTGTATATAGTAAAGAGAACAGTGTTGCTAACTTAGCGATAAACAAAAATTTCAAAAAATTTTTTAAGGGTTTTTCCAGTACTTTCTTGAGAGAATGTATATTGTAAGCTGAACAGAGTTGTGAAGTAAGGAATAAAAAATAAAAAAATATTCCGACATTCAACTTAATCGGACTTTTTAAATAAACTAGTTTCCAGATCTTCTTGACAGAATGTATGCAAGAGAACAGAGTTATTAACTTAGTGACAAGAAGAATTTTGCCAATCCCTGTAATTAGCGTGCTTTTCATATGA